TGGAGGATTCCATGTCATGTCATTGTCACCACCGTCGTCTCCAATGGGCATCTGTCGATGACATTGAACATTCAGTCTCCACGTTTCTTCTACAAACAGCAAGCCAGAGAATCCAGATGGGTTGTAGATCATAACGGTATGTATGAGGCATGGTTTTGCAGAGGCAACAGGGGTTTCCTATTCTACTCACCATCGAGGTCTCCAGCCTTCCAACTCATGATTTTGGGCCCGTGCGACTTGAGAGAGCCTTCGTTACAGATCACTATTTGGCTAAATAGCAGACAATACAATGATGAGAAAAACCCCCCATGTGTACTTCGGTACGTGTGTTTGGAGTTGTAGTGGACGGTCACCGCGTAGGAAAGGGGGTAGGTGATCAGACAAACAGCAGATCTCCACAATCCCAATATATAAGACTAGAAGTGAGAGAATATGAGCTACTCACCTGCTATTTACCTTCTCGCTAGAGGTTAAGAGTTTTTGGATCTTCGAAACGTCCTTTTGTGAGCTGGCTTATGCGGGTGGATGGGTAGACAGAGGAAAAAGTTGGAAGGAGAAAGAGAAGAGAAGAGGCGAAGGTGTTCAGTTTTTTTTTTATACTGTGTTGGGGAGTGAACAAGGAGGCATTGGCAAAGCAACATTGGCTTTGTTGCTTTCATAGCAACCAGTTCCCAGACTGGTAGGTAAATCATTCATTCCCTCACTAAATTCAAGAGCAGCAGACTTGTCCGTTTTTAAATGTAGGGGCCAGTTTCTTCGTCTCCTGGGATTCTCCGCTTACGGGATTCCAAATATCCATCCACACCTGAATCTATAACTGAGTGTGTAGCTTGCTTGTCTTGTGTTATTTCTGTATGTTCATATTATTGAGAGGATTCAACCTTCTTTGTAAGCTGTCTTTTACCGCTGCAGGCTCCCCCTGGTCCAGAAGTATCGGAATGCTCTGGAAAAATGAGGGACTCATGGCAGTTGAACAGAGGAGATAAAAAGGGATATATGTATCGTACACATGGATATTTCAATTAAGTCCATCCTGTCATTTACAGGGGAAAGGAAAAGTCTGCAGACAAAAGTGATCATTAACGTGAGTATTCAATAGCCTTTCCCATATCATTCATA